TTTCTTGATCTCAGTAACAATCACTGTCACCAACTTTTGCTGGGTCATAGGAGCCCTTAACTAGAGATAAATATGGATGCCCTGTAGCAGGGATTGCCATTAAAGGACATAAGTTCGATACTTATTTTCTCTGTTATTGAAGATGCTTAAGTACAAGTCCTGCCTGGCATTTTTCTAGCCCATGTAATACCTTTACCAAAAGGTTAAGTAATGACAGCTACATTGAAAGAAGAAAATACTAACTTTCTGATAACAACTTGTTGTCCAGGCCTTAGAAACATTCTGTTCTGTTTAGTGGAGGTCTTCACATTTCTGAGTATTCAGTGACTGATGGGCAGGCAGTGTCGTAGGAAGAATTCGGTTCTATTATTAAGGCTTATCTTGCAAGGGACTCAGTCGGACTTCACATCATTTTACCACATGTAATATACGTACTGCTGCAAGAGTCAAGTGCAGGTAGCTAGAAGAACATCGAAGAGGGTAGCCTAGACCTGAATGGGGGCACACAGCTGTAATAACCCCAGACTTTTGCAAGATTGAGACAGGAGGATCTTAATCTTAAATTCAAGCCCATTGGGGCAATTTAGGTGCTGAAACCCAGTTTTAAAGAGCTGGAATTGTAGCTCAGTCCCATTACCACAGAATAGTACATAAATAGGAGCCTAGATTTTGTGGTTTAGAAGGAAGCATAGATGGCTCCATAGGAGGAGACACCGCATGTAAGACTTGGACAGAGCAGTTGGCGAGACAGTAGAGAGCCTTGAAGAACGGGGTAAAGCAAATGTGTGTGAGGGAGAAGGAGAGCCGGTGTGGCCGAGGTGTGCTGAGGACAGAAGGGCAGGGAACCTTCAGTCTTCTCAGAAAGCGGATTTTCAGTCCCTGGAAAGATCCTATGCTGACATCTGCTGGCTGGTATGTATACTGCAGTTTCTATTTCCGTTATACAAGAACATCCCAAATACCTGCCCTCGTTTTTTTCAAAGGCAGCAGTAATAAATTTAAAATAAAACACAGCTTTTGCTGTGTTCTGTGTCACGGACATCACTCAGAAAACTGCCAACAGTTGTTACATAGTGCTTTCATATGCTCCTTATTGTAGATGCGTACATAAGCACTAATTGCTTATTTTAGTACAAGATTACAGATACAGAAGAAATCATACCTGTAAAAGTTGAATAGGCGTGTTCTTGACATTACCAAATCACTTTTGCACTTTGTATTTTTCGTTTTGATACAGGGTGTTGCTAAGTTGCTTGAGCAGGACTTGAACTTGTGATCTTTCTACCTTAGCCTCCCCGAATGCTGGGCTTATAAGCATGTGCCACACACCCAGCTTTGCACTTTGTCTCTTTAATATAATATCTAATGAAATACTTTTATGTTATGAAATATGCTAAAATTTTTTTCCTTCAGAAATACATCAGGGCTGAGTGTAACACTTGTCTAGCCTGCTCAAGGTCCTAGGGTTGTGGGCCCAGCACCACAAAACAAAAATACAGCTGGTTTTAACCAGCAGTTATTCTAAGGCTAAAAGTCAACTCTCAGCATGTCTAACATAGTTTTCATTGTTTCCTTGGTCACTTTAGTAATGGTAGTTCATTTTCCATTGCTGGATTTGAAACTTGGCCTTCCACTGGCAGCTGCCTCACCATGCAATCACTACTTAGGTTACATAGTAAAGTATAAATTAAGTGATTTAACGACATCATCATGTAATATAAAAACTGTGGGTTGTTGGAAAGTGGAGCTCCGTTTAAATGGAACAAACACTAGAATTAGGGTCTTACAGCCAGAGTTACAGCTTTGGCTTTTATTACTTGACTACATGAGTCAAAGGTTTTAAAGGAAAAAAGTATTTTGATAGAAAAATAATAGGTAGTTCAGTGTCACCCGGAAGCCCAGATAATCAGGGTTGAGGAACAGGCATTGGACATCATCTGTTGTCACTTGATCACTCCTCAGACCTGCTACAGTGAGGACACCCTCTCTGCTGAGTATTAAGGGGTCTCCACATAGTTTACCAAGGCCACAGACACAGAACTGTGCACCCTGCCACTAACACTGCCAGCCAGTGTTGCTGTGTGTGCTCAACTTGCTGTTCCTAAAGGCAAATCATAGAGACTTCCTTGTATCACTGGTTCTCAGTTCAGTCTGGGGCACATTTAATTTGTAGCATTGAAATCACGGAAAAGCAGAGGGACTACCTGGAATTTCTGCTACGTTAGTGAAAGTCGTGATCCACTTCCCAACCTGCTTGTATTTTGGGAGCTCCCAAATGTAGGGAAAAAAGTTCAGATCCCAAACAGCCAAAAAGAATGACATGTTCATTGTGTTAATCCTGGACAAATCACTCTGCCTGGGTGAGACTGGTTTTACAGCAAAGTTCACATGGCTGAGCAGATTGTGTTTGTTCACTTACTCATTTGGCATAAATGCCAACTATGTGCCAGAGCAGAGACAAGTAGCAGGATTGCTCTGTACTGTCATGGGGGAGAAAAAGCGCCAGACAGCAAATAGAGGATGGAGCAAGCACACGATAGATGAGAGGAGAGAGGAGTCAACTGTAATTTGCGAATGATGTTCTTATATTTAAAAGCTTATATAAAACATCAAATCTCCCATGTACTACTAATGGAAAAGATAGCATGTTCTTGTAGAAAACTGCTGTTGAACTCCTTTTAAAGTTAGCAGTTCTATAGTGATGCCAAAACAAGCAGTAATGTTGGTCTGCACAAATCCAAAATAATAGCTTATTGACAGCTACTGATAATAAAGATGTATCAACAACTTTACTGATTGAGTTTTTCCAGTTATTAAAAAAGGCTGCTAGTGTAGCTCAATGGTAAGTGCTTGTCTGTTACCATGCGAAGATCCTGGGTTCAAGCCACAACACTGCGGGGGTGGAAGGAACAGCTACTTGGTAATTCAGGCCTCACCCAGTCACGCCAAGTTCTTAGAGTAGAGATGAACTACATTTTAATAAAAGATGCTGTATAAAATCAGGAACTGACAGGTTAATGGGGCCATGGGAGTCAGCTAGTTCAAACCTTGATCTGGTGGGATTATTTCCTCATCATTCTTGGTAAGATTTTTGTAGCTGATATTCTCTTCTAAAATTCAAAAGTTGAGTTGAGCTACACTTTTTGATCACTCCACTTTTTGACGCATAGGCCTCTCAAATTTAACAAGTCCAAAACTGAGTTCTTGGTCTCTCCACCTCCACCCCTCCAAATACTTCCATATTACAATAGTTCCTATTTTGACGAATAGCACCTTCATGGACCCAGTTAATAGGTTAAACTGTAAGACTCAGCAATCTCCCTCATCAAGTCATATTTGACTTTAAAAGGTATTTCTGTTTTTGCTTTTTGTCTTTTTGAGACAGGGTTTCACTATGCAGTTCAAGTTGGGCTTGAACTCACTTTGTAGCCCTCGCTGGCCTCAAACAGTGATCCTCTGCCTCAGCCTCCAAGTACTAGGACTACAGTACTAGGACACCATTCCCGGCTGTGTTTCACTTTACCTCAAAAATGTGTCTCAAATCCATTTTGCTCCATGTTCACTACCATTATTCCAGTCCAAATCTTGCTAGTCAATCTCTGCTTCTGCACTTACTGTGACTTTTCTCCACATAGCAGCAGCTGTAACTAGTTTATTACTTGACTACATGAGTCAAAGGTTTTAAAGGAAAAAAGTATTTTGTTAGAAAAATAATAGGTAGTTCAGTGTCACCCGGAAGCCCAGATAATCAGGATTGAGGAACAGGCATTGAACATCATCTGTTGTCACTTGATCACTCCTCAGACCTATGCTATGGAATGTTTCTGATTCTCAGAAACATTCATGTAATCTGAGCTACTCTGGAGCCCTAGGCATGAGGACTACTAAATTCAAGGCTAGCCTGGATAACATATCAAGACTCCATCAGAACAAAATATCGATTCACCCGTATTCTCCACACTTCAGTAACTTCCTTTTACAGGAAGCTTTAAAATCATGGCCTGCCAAGTACTGCATGATGTACCAGTGGCAGTCACTCGGACTGCGTTTCCCTTCACTCGAGCTTCAGATGACATTTTCCATTTCCCAAAGAGCAATCTTTTCTCCTCTACCCTGCCCCACTTTACCCAAAACCTTTCACGCCGGCTTTCCTTTCCTCCTCCTCCATTTGTCCCGTTCTTTACCATCCTCTTAAGAAGTCTTCCCTGATTCAGCCGGCGTGGTGGCGCACGCCTGTGATCCCAGCCTGCAGGAGGCTGAAACAGGAGGATCTTTGCAAGTTTGAGACCACCCTGGATTACAGAGTGAGCTCAAGGCCAACCTGAGCTGCATAGCAAGACCTTGTCCCAAAAAGACTAAAACAAAAATCTCCCTGAGCTCTCTCCCTTTACCCCTAATTTTAAGTTTGGGTTCCTTTCAGACACTTAAAATAATTGTAAATACATATGGTATAAATGACATTTGATTGGTATTTGCCTTCTCCACCACAGAATTAATTTCTGAACAGCAACCATAACAGCTTTGTTTACTTCTGTCCTGTTAATAACAGGACAAGTGGCAGCATTTACAGTGTGGCATGCGTTAGTCCAAGTGTTTAAACGTGATAATTTAATATATATTCCAGTGGTCAGTTTATTCAGAGAGTGAACACAGCCTCTATGTGCATATCCACAAGAAGCACAACGGCTTCCGAAAGTCCCGGTTACACTGTTAGATAATTGGAGCTTGGAAGACTTCTTTGTACTGACCCCTTAAACAGGCCTCCCTGCAGCTGCTGCCCACTGATTCTATTTCTGTGCAGTTTGGGGCCGCGCAGTACATGCCTAGACTGTCCCTTCCTGGGCTCGCTTTGCAGCACCCAGAGCTGGCCCGTCGCCTCGCATCTCCCACGCTGGCCGTTGTCTGCAGGGATTCCTCTGGGCCGAGCTGGTCCGCAGCCCAGCCCAGGGCCCCCGCCCCCGCCCCCGCCCCACTCGTCACGTGACCGCGCCGTGGCGCCGCCGGCAGCTGCACTCCCCGGGCGGGGTTCCCGGGCGCGGGTCCGCCTGCCTCGGCCGCGCGCTTCAGTTCTCCGGATGCGCTGCGGCTTCCTGGGCGTCGCGGGCCGCGGCTGGGAGGTGTCGCTGCGAGGTAGGAGATGGCTGCGCCTGCCCGCGAGCGTCGGGTCCCGGAGCAGGGGCGGCCGGGGAGGGCTTGGACACCTCGGGGCTGCCTTTGCGGGCCGGGGTGCTTCCCCGGCTACAGGCGGAGGAGGCGGGGGGAACGTGCAGAGGCTCAGCGCGTGCACGGCTCTGGGAGTGGGGCCTGGCTCCTGGGGAGGAGTTGCCTCGAGCTGCCGCATCCTGGCTTCCCTGCCACCTGGAGGCTCCGCGGGAAGACTGGTGACTTGGTTTCCCCACTGGTGAAGCCACCGGACCGGGAGCTCGGCATCTTGGCGTTTGACTCCAGCCCCGGGACTTTACAAGTGGATAGAGAAGTCTAACAGAAACAATCTGATTCTCAGGAATGGAAGACCCGCACTTACTGGGGCTTCGGTGTTTTGCCTCTCCTCGATGTCTTCTCCATCGTTGAAGAAAGAGGGTTAGCCCCTGCCCTGCCTCCCTTTCAGGATCACAGTGAAGAACAGGTAGATGGGAAAGTCATTTGAGGAGCGCCCGAACTCCGGAGCTGGCTCTGGATTCAAGTGCTAGTCCTTCCACTTGCTAGCTAAGTGAACTTGAGCATGATGGATCTTTTTTGTGTTAAAAGTGGGTAATAATGTCCTAAGCTGTGAGGTTTAAGCGTAAAGGTAGCACAGTGTTTGGCACAGAAGGCTCCATAGATAGGGCTATTAATATAGCAATTATTAAAATAGTAAACTAGAGAGTGCTTCACCACGAAGTTTCAACATAATCACACTTCAGGTACGCTGTACATGGTCCCCCAAACAGTTTGATCTGTGGAACCTTTTCTTCTTTCCCCCTCCTTCTGGGCCCCTCTTGCTTGGTTTTACAATTGGCATGTAAACCTGTTGTTCCTACCAGATGAGTCCGGCAGTATGGGAACATTAATTTACTTGAGCAGATGGGTATCAGATTCCTTCTGAGGGGAAAGAAAAGTGCCAGCCATGTGCTGCCACCAAAAAAAAGCACAGTATAGTGATTGACTGTTAGAGCTGGAAGATGCCTAGGAAACCGTGTAATAAATACACTGTCTCCTTTTGCAGATGGAGAAACTGGACCCAGACAGGGCTTTGATTTGCTCAGGGTCCACCAGGGTATTGAACTGGGCAGTGGTGAAGAGGATGTGCAAGTTCCAACTTAGGTCTTCATGTACTCAACAAGTATTTTTTAAATGCCTACTGTGTTTGTACACCTTCTAGGAGCTGGAGATATAAATTCTGACATGGTCTCTGCCCCCATGCAACTTTCCTCACAGTTATGTTAGCTTGAGGTTATATAAAATATAGTGTGTGCGTGTTCTCAGTCCATTTTATAAAAAGAGTAAATTTCAGCTCCCTCTGAGCTTGTCTCGGGCAGCTGGCCCCAAGGGACAGAAACACACAAGAGAGGCGAATTGTTTCATGAGCCTTGCAGTTCCAGAGCCTTTTTGAAAGCCTGGAGAGACTGGAGAATATGCTGTTTTGTTAGAGCTTTGCGGAAAGGATTTCCTTCTGGCCCCTAACACTTGGATTTCTTTGTGTTTCCCGTTTCAGGCCTCTTACTGTTTTTAGATTTCTGAAAAGAGCAGTCCTCACCGTAGTGCCTTCGTTTTGGTTTCCATGGTTATCAGGGGAATTATATTTCTATGATAGCACAAATAGCTATTAAGCAATGTATAGTCAGGCAGTCACCAGTTCCCAAAGGTTTCTGTTTTCAGGCACTGGCCTTTTTCTGGGTTTTGTGGTTGTTTTCCATTTGTAGTACTCCTCTTTCTTTTCTTTTTTTCCATGCCTCCTTCCATCTTTCCTTTTAAAAACATGCATTGGTGGCAGGGCTAAGAGGAGTGGGAATAAGTGGAACAGATAAAAACATGCAGATAGATCCTGGCCTCAGAACCTTTGGGGCAGATGCCAGAGGCAGATGAGTGGACCTCTGATAAGGGTGTAGATGGGGGCTCAGCAGGAACTCTCAGGAGGGGTCCTGTCCTGGAAAGTCAAGAAGTTAGCACATGTGAAAAAAGCAAAGTCCTTTTACAGGTCTCAATCATAGAAGAACAATAGTACGACAAGCCTTTGGCGTTTTCAGTTTGCTTTAATAAATGAACCTTTTGAGCTGCTTGTCATGGGCTTTGTTTGGGAAGCCTGCTGATTTCCTTCATCTTCTGATAGCTTCGAGATAGGATGTCTGTCATACACATACATAAAGGTAGGAAAAGAAGAGACATTAGACTAAAATTTTCTTTCAGTGTAGATATTTCACCTGTGTGTCTCATTTCACAAATTAGGTTCTAATGCAGTTCCACATTTCTTTATTTCTGTTTTCCAAATTCTTTCCCAAGGCCTCTAAGCCCTCATTAGTGAGAATTCCAACAGAGATTAAACAGTCCGAAAGGGTCAGGCTTACCATTACTCTCTAGAGGAAAGACACATGGGTGTGTCTGACACAGCTACCTAGTGTCACTAGTGAAGAACTGTCCTGTGCATTCCAAGCATGTGTGGTCACCACTGCTTAATGCCTTCTTTGAACCAGAACCCTGCCAGTGCACCCCCATGCTTGGATTCCAGGTGAAAAGCTTTTTTGTAGTTTATTTTCACATGTGGAACCATTCTCTCCAATGCACTGTAAAATCTATAGTGTGCTCCTATGCCTAGACAGTTATTCAGGAGGCTGAAGTAGGAGGATTACTTAGGCCCAGAAGTTCAAATCTGTCCTGGAGCAACATTGCAAGACCCGGTCTTGAAAACAGTGACAGAACAAACAAAAAACTGGCTATGTGTTGCCCTCAGTACAGTACCTCCTAAATCATAACCTCCTCCCCCATAGGAAGCTACTACCTTGACTTTTGTGATAATCAAGTCTTAGCCTTTCTTCATAGTTTTATCCTGTGTATATACATCCTTAAACAATGTACTTTAGTTTTACTAGTTTAGATTCATGCATATTTTGCATTTTGTAGTTTTCTTCTCTTGTTAAGGTTAACATCCATCCATGTGGCGGTTCATTGCTGACAGTGTTTGTGGGTGTGAAGAGTTCACATTATGTTTATTCTACAGTGCATGGATGCTTGCATTACCTGCAGCGCGTGACTGCCAGGAGCATCCTTACACATCTTCTGTTGTGCATGTGAACAACTTCTCTGTGTTACATGGATTGGAGTGCAATTATTTTGCTGAATAATGCCAGTTTTTAAGTGACTAGATAGAATTGTTTTCCTACCAGAGTTTATGAGTTCCAATTGCTTCCCATCCTTGCAAATACTGCTTTTGTCAGTTTTTTTTTTAAATTTTAAAAAGCAAAACAGAAAAAAGGATAGAAATAATGCAGAATTTCAAACAAAGTAAGAAATTAACACTAATTAATGTATTGCATATTGTTACCTTAGAAATAGTTGTTCAGGTTTCAAGATTTAGGGACAAAAAGATAAACAAACAATGAAAGCACAAACTGTTCTTTTGAGATTAGTGGTATAGCTATCTACCTTGTATCTACGTACATATATACATATATGTGTATACCTATGTATATGTACTCTTTTCCATTCCTCCTTTTCTCCTCTCCCCTATCCCAGTTGTTCTTTCCTGTTGAGCACTTTCATTCCCTTTCATTATCACAGTATCTATTGTACATTTTGGATCTTATTACTCTTTTTTTTTACACTAGGGAGACAATACAGTATTTACAAATGTGAGTTGATTTCACTTATGAGTATGGTCTCAGGTTGCCTAGATTTACCTATAAAAACCTCAAGATTATCCTTCTTTATGGCTGATTAATATTCCATTGTTTTATCCATTCCATGGTTAATGGGCATTTGGGTTGTTTGTGAGATTTAGCTATTACAAATTGTGCTGCTATAAACATAGGTGCAACTATATTGCTGTAGCATGGCATACCAGAAGTTACCTGTATAACTACCTTAACTATCTTGTATGTAGGTATATTTTTTCCTTTACCCATTCTTCATTTCCCCCATCACGGTTTGTCCCTTCTCTTGAACAGTTTCTTCCCAAATCACAGTATCTTTTGTACATTTTTTTATTTTAAAGAGAAGAAAGAAAAAACAGAAAAATCATGATGCAAACAAACCTCAAAAACAAGAATGAAAGCTAAATGACAGCACAAACAGTAATAGCTATATAGATTTTCAAAACAAGATGATAGTTATTTAATAATGGTTGTTCTCCTGCATATTGTTATCTTCAAAATAATTGCTCGGGTTACCAAAAATGGGAATAAAACAAAAGTAAAATGAAACAAAACATTGGATTTCAGAAACAGGGCAGAAGGAAATCCCCCACGGTTGCCATAATGCACACTGCCATCCCCCAAATAGGTGCCCAGGCCCCCAGCCCCAGGCCTGCACAGTCAATCACACAGCTTAAGGGTCAAGAGATTCCTTTCATCTCAGTTGTTGTCTTACCCCAGTCCTCCCAGTCAGCCAGTTGCTTGGTGGGGGTAGGAGTGGGGTGGGGGTGGCTCTTCTGGTTTCTCAGCCCAAGCACTGGCTGGTGGCTGGTTCACAGGAGGGCGAGCTTTGTTCTCTTGCTGAGTAGTGTCCTTCTGATCCCCTTGGCCTTTTGTCAGTTTTTGATGTTTAACAATGTGTGAAGGTTAAAAAAAAAAAAAAACAATGTGTGAAGGTGTCATAATACCTCCAGATAAGAGAAGAATGGAGCAGTCGTGCAGAGCGTGGCTGAGATAGAGATGAGTGAAGATGCACAAACTCCAGCTGCTGGGAGCCTTAAGCTGCTGTGAATCTAGAATTTTCGTTTTAAGTTTGGGAGACCTAGCCCTACCGAGATCTTATTTCTGCAGTTCTATACGATTCTATCATCTCTAATAGACCATCCCTAATAGGACGTGATAAGCCCTCCCTTATTTACACTTGGTATCAAAAACAACCTGGTACAAATGTTTAGAACTTGAAGACAGTGCCCACCTGGGTGAATTTCTGTTTCCACTAATGCTATGCTAGTCTTCTTGTGCTGA